TGGAGGCAGCATTTTCTTCGTTGTACTTGCATTTCCGACACGAATACATTCACAAAGAAAGACCACTGTAGCACACGCATATTTCTATTCTTACTTTCGTTTTGCGCACCCATTGCCAACCACGTCATTGTTACGAGATTCCCAAGGTCACGAATGAATGCTCGCACAAACGTCTTGGAGCTTGAACATGTGAATTTCGCCCAGAGCGTGATAGGATGCATTGACCTTAGCAAAGTTCAAAAAAGAAATGCTGCCAGCACTGTCGAGTTACCACGTATATATAAAAAAATCAAAACCCAATACTGCGCCGTCAAACATAAAAGGTTTAAGCTATGTCATGAAAATAACGCGGCAACGCATTACAGCTGCGGCCGCCCAATGATCTGTTTCGGTTTATCTTTCGTCGAGTCTGAGGAAATGAGTTCCTTTCCTGGGGCTGTTTCCTGAGTCTCTTTGGGCGCTGCGTGCGAGGTGGTCGTTATTGTGGACTCTACGGGTGCTGCTCCGTCCACTGATGTCTTGGAACTGTCTGCTGTGGGCTTTTCAGCCGACGTGGCATCATCTGAGGGCGAGTCCGTCTCTTTGCCGCTCTCGTCGAGCTTCAAGATGGCCTCGATTTCGTTGGCAATCTCGTTGACCTCGGCCTCGGCCGACGACAGTGCGCCGCCAATCTCGGGCGGCTGGTCGTTTGTGTCGTCGAACTCACCTCCCACATACTTGGTATCGTCGTCGTCACCAGGGCCCACCTTCCTGCCAACGTCAATGTCGCCATCGCCGTCGTTGTCGCTGTCGCCGTCGCTGCTCTCGCTCGGCGGCCGCGGACCTGCCGTGGCCAGGATTCGTTCCTGACCGCGTTGCCGCTCCACCTCTTCGGCGCCGACCAGAGTCAGCCACAGCTCGTCCAGCTCGGCCCGCCAGCCCAGTGCATCCGCCAGCTTCAGCACACCCGCGGTGCAGTTGCCGAGCTCCAGAACGTCGTCGGCCCGGGTGCCGAGGTCGCCAACCACCTCGCGGTTGAAGAGCACGCGCGGCACGTGGTCTGGGACCATGGTCGGCAGCCCCGCAAACGGGTAGACGGTCAGCGACGTGCCCAGCACGAGCACGAGGTCGGCGTCGGTGGCCGGCAGCTTGCCAAACTCGTGGAAACGCTGTGGCAGGCTCTCTCCGAAAAAGACAATGTCGGGCTTCACGAGGGCACCGCAACCGGGCTGCTTGCAGCGGGGCACGCGGGCGTCGCGCACATGCTGGCGCATTTCGTCGTCGGGGAAGGGCGTGCGGCAGTCAAAGTTGATGCAGCGCTGGGTGGCAAAGGAGCCATGGGCTTCGACAATGAGGTCGGCAGGGACGCCAGCAGCGCGCTCGAGGCAGTCAATGTTCTGCGTGAAGAGCATACGCAGGATGCCCTTGGCAGCGAGGAGGGACAAGAAGGCGTGGGCCACGGTGGGATGGAACTGGCCCGGGTAGAGCTCCTTGGCGAGGATGTAAAATGGATGAGGGTTCTCGCGGAAGTAATCGATGCTAAAGACGGCCTCTGCATAGGGCAGCTTGAGGCGCTGGAGGTTGGCGTAGAGGCCCGTGCCCGGTGACCGGAAATCAGGAACTGCTTGAGTGTTAGTTGGATCCTTCAGGCGGGCAAAACACCAAAACGTCAAAAAGTCAAACGTCATCGAGACACATGCGCCGTGGACGTACTTCCTGCAGCTGTGGAGATGCCTGCTCCAGTCAGGGCAACAATGCGCCGCACCTTGCCGTCGAGTATCAACTGGGCTACGGCCTCGAGGCTGCGATCGTTCAGCGTCTGAGGCGGCGTGCTCTCGTCGATCTGGTTAGACACTTCCTGGCCCATCCTGCCGAATCTGTTGGTGCGGTTGGTGCGGTTGTTTCCCCTGTAGTTACTGCTGCTGCTGCTGTTCTTGTCGTTGCGCCGTCCAGCTCGTCCGACTTGCAACGGGCGATCGGCGCGTCGATTTTGCTTTTCTCTCCGTGAGAGAGGTGGCGGCGGTGATGTAGACGACGACCACCGCGGGCGGTGACGGTCCTTCCGACGGCGACCTATGATGAAGGTGAAAAAACTTGGATATGCCTGCGGCAAGTTGATGCAGAACGAGAGCAAAAGAAGATTGGAAAAAGGTCGATCAAAAGATATCCGTTTGTTTAGACAACTCGAGGACCGTCGATGTTCTGTATGCGTGCGAGAACGTCAATGTGAGAAGGATGACTTCAGAGTTGTTTGTCGAGGAGCGCTTGGCCTATGTCGTGAGAGTTCAGTTGTTGACGAGAAGAAAGCAGTTTAGTACATTGCCGTTTTGCGCTCTTGCATGTGGTAGCCTTGCCAAGAGCTGATCAGTTTTTCCTCTTGCCTTCCGTCATGCGGCTGATGGGGGGGAAGGTCCAGGTCCACTTTATTTTATCAGTTCCATTGCACGAAATACAGGCAAGTGCCGCCCCAATTATGAGGGGAGGAGCGCCGGGTATATGTCATACGGGGACCGGGGGAGAAGGAGCGAACCTGCCTTGGAAACTCCAGCACAGTCACTGGCTGTCTGCCAATTTATTTATGAAATAAAATAAAAAATACGTGCAACGGGAGGTGACTAGAAAGCCTTGCATTATACATTTGTGAGATGGTTTGACTGTTGGATGGTTGCGGCTGTTTCAGTGTAATATTACCAAACGAAGATGAGGTCAATTTGGTGTGAGCTAGACTTGCAAAGAAAACTGTCAACGGCTTGGTTGGTATCATAAGTTCAATATTGTACAACACTGTCAAATTATATACAAAATGCCCCAAATTGCCTGGGCATGATTGGCAGCTGCTATCGTCTGCTGCATTTTGTTCAGCGGCTGCGCTGGGGTGCAACCTTCCGCCTCTATCATTATGCAAGCCTAGGAATTTGTGTGCTTGCGTCTCGATACGTAGATTCATAGACCACTCGGAGCCCGTTTCTGGTTCTTGTCCATGCCGTGCCGACCATATAGTTTTGTAGATAGAGTGCCCATAAATGCAGGCCGTAACACACTGCTAGTTACTCGACCGACATCCTCAGTCCCAGTCGTCGTCGTCGTCGTCGTCGTTTCTCCGGTGATCTCGGCTCGTTTTGATCGACTTGTTGGCGCCGGCCATGATACGCTCCTCCTCGGCATCTTCAGCGTCTCGCCGCCGCTTCAGCACGCGCATGTCATTGTCCGCAACCGCGCCCACCTCGACCAGAAGTGCATCGATGTCCAGCATGCTCATCTTGACGCCGCCCACCATGGCCAGGGTCACAATCTGCTTGACAATGTCGCCACTGCGGTACACGAGAATGGTCGGACAGTTGCGTTCCGGATACCCCTCGATGGCCTGGTCGGCCCGCATCTCGCAGAATTTGACCTCGCCGTACTCGGTTGCGGCCTGGCGGAACAGCTCAGAGAGCACGCGCGACTCGACGTTGGTGCCCGTCGACGACATGAGGTTCACAAACACGGGCGATCCTTGTCCTGTGCCGGCGCGGCCGTCCTGCTTCGACGCCTCTGTGACTTCGCGGTTGTACTCGGGCTTGGAGATTGGGTAGACGCTGCCGTGGACGGCCGTTTTCTGGAGGGCGTGCAGCTCCTGCATGCGCTGCTGGCGGTACGCATTGAGGAACTCCTCGTCTTCCAGGTCCTCAAACTCATCGAGCTCGTCCAGGTCTTTGCCCTCGAGGCGGTTCTCGTGTGCGAGGCGCCGGCCCTCGAGAATGGCCTCCTCGATCATGGGGGTCGGGCTTGGCGGCTTCTCGGGGATGACGCCATGCTTGCGGAGGATCTCGTTCCTTGGGGAAAGAAAAGAGTCAGAGTCAACCTTGGATCTCAAGTCAAGAGTCTTGAGTCATTGCCGCGTCCTGACTCAACCGCCGTCCTTTTTCCAAGCTTACCATTCTGTATCAGCATTTGGATCGTCCACCGGCACCGCTATTCTCTGGTCCATTGGCGCTGCCATTGTGAATGTGAGTGTTTGGCGTATGACTGCAACAAAAGAAAGAATCGATAACGAGTTGAAGGATGCGAATGGTGTGTAAAACACAAAGTACAGCCGGTTTGTCGCTCCTCTGTCGTGAAATCGCGAGGACTCAAAGCTGCCTGTATCTGACAGCTGCCCCACTGCCTACTTTGGAGGCAGCCTTTCGGCGGCAGCCTAAGGGAGCTGTTGCTGGCACTATTGGGTTGCACCTGTTGAAGCCCGCCGAAGAGTCAGAAATGACTAATCGAGCAGCAGGCTAAGCCTCTCCTGGAAGCTACTCGTGTGGCGTATTTACACGTGACTCTATCTTTGGCAGAAACCCTAATGCGCTAGGCCCTAGAATGGCTAGCGTGGCCATCGACGGCGTTGGGGGTGTGCTCGCCGCCTTTTTGGCTGGTCACTCCAGAAAGGTCGCCCATTTGCCCTCGCTTTGCTCCGCTCTGGTTGGTCCATTTTTTTATGGGCTAAACAAAAAATTTCTGGCTCTTGCCCACTCCTGGCTTTTTTTTTGCCCGCCCACACACCGTCTCGCTCCTTTGCTGTTGCCGCTTGAGCCTAGTCTTGCCCTCATTTTGCTCGACTCCTCTTTCTGACTTTTTCCCACCTCTTCTCTTCTTCTCTTCACCCAACCCCAAATCAACTTCAACAACCAAATCCACGAGCGCCGAAATCTGTTTGTTCTTAACAACCAGATTTTTTAATCCTACCGATACCAATCCGCTCGATTTTTCGATTTATCTCGACAATTTCCTCAAACCGTCAAAATGGTGCGTGCTACAGTCTTTGTCGATGGAGGAAGCAACAAGGGAGCATGTCGGGAAGAACATGACGGTGAAGATCGTTGGGAACACTCGGCAGCATCGGCATCGATACGGGACCCCGACGACGGACGCACGCCTTGAAGACGAGGATGGAAACGACCTTGATGGGAGCTTTGATGGGAGCTCTATCGACACGGACCATTTCGAGGGCCAGAGCGTACCTTTGTGACAACCGGACATCGAACATGCAAAGGACAATGACAACAACGAGACTGATGCTGCCGGGATTCGAGGACGCAGTTGACAATGACGATTCTGGAAACGGGAGCTGGAGGTGGATGTTTTTCTTGTTATCATCGATTGTATGCGGAAGTGCTGACATTTTGTTTTTTCTTCGTCTAGGTTTTGGCCGTTGATCTGCTGAACCCCAGCCCTGCTGCTGAGGCCCGCAAGCACAAGCTCAAGGTACGACTCGACCACGACACCCATCTCTTTTGTCGATGCGAGCATTTGCCGCACCCTCTAGTCTCTGCGATACTAACATGTCCCTGACAGACCCTTGTGCCTGCCCCTCGCTCGTTCTTCATGGACGTCAAGTGCCCCGGCTGCTTCACCATCACCACCGTCTTCTCTCACGCACAGACCGTCGTCATCTGCCAAGGCTGCACGACCGTCCTTTGCCAGCCCACCGGTGGCAAGGCGAGACTGACGGAGGGCTGCTCTTTCCGGAGAAAGTAGACGATGTTATCTTAAAACAAGCGAATCGAATTCTTCTTTTTGTCTTTCCCTTTGTTTTCTAAACTCGTCACAAATGTCTTCGATATATCAGCTCTTCGGATCGATGGAATAGACATTTGAAAAGCAGCAAGAAACGGTCGACTGCCCCATTTGGCATGTTCGTTTCTCGCTCTTTTTCTTTTGCCTTTTCTCGACCGTCGGTCTCCTCTCGGTCCCTGCCTTGTTTGGGGGGCTGTGTTTTCTCTTTTGCTTCATTTTCATCATGCGTTATTTTGCACCTGTTTCGCCTTCATCTTTTTATTTCTCGATTCAGGCAGGGCCATTTATTCCCGTCCTGGCCGATGACCGAGCGACGACAAAAAGAAAATCGACACGACCATCCCTCACGGCGCGACTTCTCTTTCTTTCTTTGCCCTCACTGTCCCACGACGTTGTATCGACAAAGTCAGCTGAGACGTGCTGAGGTTCTTTTGGGATGGGGCAGCTTGGGGTTTGATATGGGGCTAGAGGAAACTCAACCCATTTTGACTCTGAGGCAGCTTTCCGAATGGACCACGGTCATCGTCTCTGCACATGTCACTCGCCTGCCCATCAGACTTACGAGGGAAAGGACGAAGGAAAAGACGCGCTCTCTCATTTCTCTCTTGTTCTTTTTACGATCAAAGACAACCAAACCTTACAATAAAAAACAATACGAAAACAACGCGGATAGAAGATGGAGCCAGCAAACGACTTGAGTTCGGTACATCCAGACGGCATTCAAAACGGTGGTAGCGAACAAGGATGACTCCAGGAAGAAGGGAAAAGAAAAGGCAAACAGGACAAAAGCCGATTGTTACAAAAAACTGGAGGGGCGTTTTTTCGGATCCGGATATCTTGCAACTAACCAAAAAAATACACAAAATTTATCAAACCTTTTGCTCCTAAGTGACATGAAATCGGCGTATTCATAATACAGCATAACTTGGATAGTGGAGTTGAGCAGGTCATCGACTCGTGTACTGCAGCCCGACGACCAGTCGTTATTTAGTATGATAAGGATTTCAGCTGAAAGTCTTGAATTCAACATCTTCGATAATGGCCAACATCTTCGATAATGGCCAACATCGTCGAAGTTTGTGAGCTGTTTGGCGATGGCAGTTGGCTGCCTAGCTGCATCGTTTATGCTGGTAGACTACGCGCCTGCAAAACGGCCTACTAACGGCCTACCAAATCTAGCGTGCTCAGGCACCGTAGTGCAGTGCAGGGGATCTGGCCCTGCTAGGCAAGGCTACTAAAAATTTCTTGGGCATGCATCCACCAGGCTGCAGCTCTCTTCTGAAGCCCTCGTCTTTCACGTCACGACAACAATTGCAAAGCAACAAAAAGCAAACAACGGCGGACAATAGCACCGCGATTCCTCGTGTTGTGTCAACCACAGCCAAAACATAATGGCCTCCGTGACGCCCAACATGACGCCGGCCGTCGACCAGACCTATGGACAGCGCAGCGTCTTTGGCGGCGACGGCCTGGCGACAGCGCCGATGGACGCAGACCTTGACTGTGAAGACGAGCAGGAGGCCCTGGCCTATCTGCGGCTTGTCCGGTGAGTTGCTTTTGTCGCCTTCCCAAACGGATTGTTTGTCTCGTCTGGTTGAGCCTCCTGCTGAACGAACCAATAGCTAACGCGTGAATGTTTTTGTCATTTTGGTTTTTGTTTACAGAGACGAAGCGAACAAGATCCCACACGTCATGGTCATGCCCCGGCATGGACCGCAGGCACTCCCGCCGGGGTTTGCGGCAGCGGCCGCGGCCGCATCGTCTGCTGCAGAAAAGAATTCGCCTCAACAGAAGCGGAGAAGGCGGCGCCGCCGGCACTGGGATGAGCAGCAGGAGGGGACCCACGCAGACTTGTCGTACGCAGTCGACGCCACCACGGACGCCACCGGAAGCGCAGCCAAGAAGCGCCGGGTGTCTCGGCAGCAGGCCGTGACCGTAGGGCTGTCGTATGATGACGAAGTGCCACCAGAGCCCGAGAGCCTGGCCTACGAAGTCGAAGTCGCCGAGGGCGAAGGCAGCGAAGACGGCGAAGGGGAAGAGGGCGAGGTGGAAGCGTCGGATAATGGTAGCGATGACGGTGCCGGCGAGAACGACGAGCGAGACTACACCCTGGAGCACCGCGACCTGTACGAGAGCAGCGTCGGGGACGCTCGGGGCTATTACCACGACGGGGCCTACGTTGCAGCGCCGCGCGAGGAGGACATGGGCGGTTCGTCGGCGGCCGACATACATGGGCGCCACGGCCAGATCTCGACAGGACATTGTGATGCTGATGGCGGAACCGCCGAGCTGGACGCCGACGATCCGGACGCCGATCCGGACGCCGAGTCCGCGCGTTTCAGCGCCGCCTATCGTTCTCGTCTGCTCCTGACCCATTTCGTGCAGCTGCGCGCCATTGTGCGGCCCTCCCCAGAGCACACCGACCTCGACCAGCTGAACGCCGCCGTCACCGCCCTCCCGCGGGACCACGACACCGACGTTGGCCCGCTGAGCACGAGGTCGAGTGTGTACCGTCGCTGGACGCACCTGCTGCGCACGACGGAGCCGCTGCCTGCGCAGATTGCTGCCATGGACAAGGTCAGCGTGCTGCGGCTGTTGCGCATTCTGCTGCGGGGCTTGCTGGCGGGCGGCTCGTCGTCGTCACGGTCGTCGCGGGCGGGACGGTTCGAGCAAACGCTGGTTGGCGGCGGCGGCGGTGGTCTCGACATGACGGGCCGTACGAGCCGATGGCTGTGGTCGCTCTTTGCGCGGCTGCCCGACCGCGGCGAGCTGGACTACCGCGAAGTGGGCTACATTCGGGACGTGGCAAAGCAAGCCGTGATGCGGCTCGCGCACCTGAGCTACGACATGGCGGGGACGAATGTTCCAGGTGGTGGTGACGAGGAAGAGGGCGAGGAGGAGGAGGAGGAGTACGAAGAAAACGAACACGAGGGAGGTGAGGGCGCAGCAGACAACGGTGATGAGGGTGGGGCCGACGCACCCAAAGGCCAGGAAGACCGAGACGATATACCCATGGACATGGAGCCCGAACCAGACACAGGCGAGGTCGAAGAAGCTGGGCCGAACGCTGTCGCCAGCGTGGATGAGACAAAATTCGGCGTTGCAGACGCTCAGGATGCCGAAGAGGAAGACAACGACGGCGAGATGCAGCAGCGGGCCACATTGGAGATGGTGCTGGCCGTCGCCGGCGAGTTCTACGGACAGCGCGACCTGCTGGCCTTTCGGACTCCATGGCCGACTGCGCCGTCCGCCTGAGCAAGATACCCATACGAATAGATGGCCTATGCATTTCAGAGACAGTACGAAGCAAGATGTGTTTCCGAGACTGAGAACAAAGTCACGTGATCTTGAAGTTGTAGAAGCACGGCAGTTACGTAAGATGGAAACCGGATCAAGCCCGTCCTGGTTTCGTTTCCAGATCCTGTGTGATGACACAGTGTGCCAGCCCTGAATCCCTGCCTGTCGAGCCCGTGTCGAGGTCCTCTCGCAGAACCACTTTACGCGTCCAAAGCTTGGAAAAACACGACGACGCCGCGTCTCACCAATGGAAGGAGCTAGTCCTAAATAGGCAATAACTAAATCCCCGCCAAGGCATTCCGCCTGCAGGCGCTACTGCCCTCTGCCAATGTATTCTGTAGAGCCCGCTAGAGAAATCCCCAGCCATCGCTTTCATCAGTTTTACTGACTTCCCATCGTTTATTGTCGTCCCTCATCCTCCCACCACCACCACCAAAGGCATCGACTGTCCCCTTGTCTTTGCTTTTCGCGCATTTTCTCTGTCATCGACGTCTCTCTTTAGCACCCAGACACCTGGGTTTGCCAAAGCCACAACACTTGGAATCCAATTGCTTCATTTTTCCGTCTTTTTGTCGTTCGTCTTTTCGCCTTCTTTTCGTCGTCGACCACTCTCCACTCATTGCTTTTCTTCTTGTTTCTGCGTCTCGTCACCTCATCCACTCGCCTCTACGACACCCGCCCTCCCTCGAAATACATACTGGCCTCGCTCATCGCATCCCACACACCCCCCACATCACCATGGCCTCGCCCCGTGTGAAGCGCCCCTTTGCGGGCCAGGCCAGCGATCCCTCGCAGCGTCAGATCACGAGCTTCTTCGACCGAGACAACGGCAACGACGGCGAGCGGCCGGCCCCGGCTGACTGTCCGTCCTTGGAACGCCGCTCGTCGACGCCGCTGCTTCCTCCGAGCGTGCAGGCCAACCTGCTGGCCGTCGGCATGCGTGTCCGCAAATCGGTGCCGGAGGGCTACAAGACCGGCAAGGAGGAGACGGAGGGCAGTCCGGTCGTCGCGCCGAGAAGGACAGCCTTGCCGGCGGCCGCGCTCACGCCGACACTCACCACCGCCTACAGCAGCCCGGCTGCCCCGTCGCACCGCTCGTACTCGTATCATGCTCGACCGACACACGCACCGCGCGAGCTCGCGCCGTTTTGCGGCCTGCACCGGATCGGCGGTCTCGGCGTGCAGCCATGGAGCGACAGCAACGACGACGGCCGGCCCCTGTTTTCTGCGTCTCTGTTTGACGGCGGCCTCGACGAGGAGGACGGGGCTGCGCCGCCCAGCTTGACAAGCAGCCAGGAGACGGTGTCGTCAACAGCGTCGTCTTCCTACGCGCCGCCATCCGCGCAGCCGTCCCGCGGCGCGTCTGCTTCCGCGCGGTTCGCCATGACCAGCTTTGGAGCGGCGGCCGCGTCGACACGCAAGCGGTTCTACGGTCAAGAAGAGGATGAGGATGCCGAGGATGCGTCTGCGGGTGCTGCCTACCAGAACGGCGGCAGCGCCTTTTTCCAGGTCCACGAAGACGCGCGTCTGCCGGTGTCCTCCTCCGCCGCCGCCGCCGCCTCCTCTGCCTCCATCAACAGCTGGCTGACGGATGGCCACGTCGGCATGGAGCGAACGTCTTTCAACCAGGGACGCCGTGTGCTGGCTGTCCCGCGGCGGCGGCACGCCACGAACGGCGACCGGTCGCTGCTGAAGCAGTCGGATAGCCAGCAGCGCGTGCGCTTCGTCGACCAGGAGAACGCCGAGATTCTCGGCGACTTTGGCGAGGCCGATTTCCTGGATGCGAGCATGCTGGCGGAGGGCAGTGGCGAGCACGACATGGAGATGGGCGGCATGTAGGGAACGCCCTGGTGCTGTCCTCTCTTTTCCTGTTCACGTTCTGTTCGCACGTTGTTTCCTTATTGTCTTTGATATCCCGCAATGTATTCTACACACTGCATCCGTTTTTTTTTCGTCTGTATTTTATTCGCTTTTTGGGTTGTGTCTATAGTATCTGTCACGATGGTTTGGGTTCATGGTTGCTCACGCGTCTGTCGAAATAGAGGAAGTGCTCTTCTGTTTTGACAAAGTTACAAAATTTAGAGCAGCACAATAAATTCGTTTTTATGTTCTTGGAATAATCAACTAAACTACAAAGTACATTTTCTTCTACCAGCTTTACATCTGTCTATCCTCCCCCCTCTACGGCAAAAGGCGCTTCGGCGTCCGTGGGTAGTAGGCCGCCAGCTGGACGCTGGGCAGGTTCAGGAAAAAGGCGACCACACGGTCGAGGCCAATGCCGCCGCCGCCGTGCGGCGGCACACCCGCCTGCCGGAACACATCGACGTATTCTTTGAGACCCTCCGACTTGGGATCCAAGCCCTTACGGACCATGCGCGCCTCGAGCAAGCCGGCCTCGTGGATGCGCTGGCCGCCGGACAAAATCTCCTGGCCGCGCATGAAAAAGTCGTAGGCGTTGCACACGCTGCTGTTGGTCGGGTCCTCCATGGTGTAAAACGGCCGGGCGCCCTGCGGGAACTTGTCGAGCACGTAAAACTCCGTGTTGAACTTTTGGCGCACCAGCTCGCCCAGCGCCTTCTCCTGCGGCGTCGACATGTCCTCGTCGTCCGACACGTTGCGGTACATCTCCGGGCCGTGCTCGCGCAGCAGCTTCTGGCCCTCGGCAAATGTCAGGCGCACCTCCTTGCCGGGCTCCGGCAGCAGGAAATCGGTCGACGGGTACACGGCGCGCACGGTCTCAATGTCGTCGGCGCAGCGCTGCTTGAGGCCGCGGAAGATGTGCAGCAGCACGCCCTCGAGCATGTACAGCACCTCGTGGTACGACTCCTGGATCTCCATCTCCATATCGAGACCCGTGAACTCGGTCATGTGGCGCGGCGTGTTGGAGTTCTCGGCGCGGTACACGGGGCCGACGCAGAAGACGCGCTTGCGCCCGCCGGCAATTTCGTACTGCTTGTAGAACTGGGGGCTCTGGGCCAAAAACGCCGGCTTGCCAAAGTACGTCAGCTGGAACACATTGGCACCGCCCTCGGAGGCAGCGTCGATCAGACCGGGCGCCTGGAAGCCCTTGAAGCCACGGGCGTCGAGGTACTCGCGGAACAGCTTCTCGGTCTCGTAGCGCACGTTGGCAATGGCCTGCTGCACGGGCGCGCGCTTGTGCATGACAATGTTGTCGAGGTGCGTTCCCAGCGCCGCGCCCGAGATGGTGGTTTCCGCGCCAGCTGCAACGTCGAGGTTCTTGACACCCTCCGTGACCGCATCGGCCGCCTTGGCCGCCTCCGCCTCCGCCTCCGCCTCGCCGCCCGCCGTGTCGTCAAAGTTGTTGACGGCCTTGTTCGCCGACGCGAGCGTCAGGCCCAGGACCTGCGGGGCCGCAGCCACGACAAAGAACTTGGTAATGTGCAGCTCAAAGCCCGACACCTTGCAGCTCTTGATGGGCTCGGGCGCGCGGCGCACAATGGCCTCGACGACCACGCACGACTCGAAGCTGCGCGACCCGGCCCACTTGACCATGGCGCGGCTGACAATGTTCTCCTTGGTGTCGGGCTTGGTCGCCGCAAGCACGCCCTGGATCGTCCAGTCCTGCTGCTCGCGCAGCTCCACAAAGCACATCTTGGCGCCCTGCATCCGCGAGTTCTGGATCCAGCCGTAGAGACGCACCGCCTTGTCGACGTGTTCCGCGCCGAGCTGCGGCAGTGCCACGGGGGCCGCGCCGTCGGTGAAGCGCAGGCCGCCTTTCGTCGCAAACGACGCCACGTCGCCGTAGTTCTCCGTCGCCAGGTCGACCTCCTCACCGCCCGCACCGCCGCCGCCCGCCGCCTTGGCCGCCGCCTCGGCAGCCGCACGCTCGGCCGCCCGCTGGGCCTTGAGCGCCTCCTTCTTGGCCTTGGCCTCGGCCTTCTTGGCCGCCTTCTTCGACGGGCCCTCGCCCTCGCCCTCAGCAGCAGGAGCCGCACCGGGAGCAGGGGTAGCAGCCGGAGCCGCCTCGGCCGCGGGAGTCTCGGTGGGATGCGGCGCAGACATTTCGAGAATGTTGGAGTGTTGCACTCTGTCGAAGATCGATCGAGAGAAGGGACGCTGGACTTGTTGTCGGGGAAATCGGTTCTTGTGAGACGTGAGGTGTGAAAGCCGTCAGTTGGGAAGGCCTTGGTCTCAATTGACAATGAGGATGCGTAGATAAACGAAACGCTGTCGTGGTGTGCTTGAGTCAGGTCGCCGGTGTCTGTTTTGTTTGGTTGTTAAAAAAAACACAGTCATACTAAATAAAGCCTTGAAGAAGGACCTGTGAGTGGGGCGGGGGAGGGGCAGAAGTACAAGGAAGACAGGCGCGACCAAGAGCACCTGCCACCTGTATCGCCGCTGATAAGCGCCTGCCTTCCCGAATGCTGGCCGCTATCGCGTGCCTGCCATTACACTTTGGCGATGGCCACTTGGGCGGCAGAGTCACAGCGGATATACATATCACATGGTTTCTCTACTTCTATACTGGAAGGAAAGACAGATTGCTTTGGATTTGAATCTCGGTTTATCGTATTGTAGCTGACCTGTCAGAACAACTCACTGAATCTTTCAGAGCCGTCGGAGACGAGACACGCAGAACGACGTTACTGTGTTGTGTATATTGAACAAAAAGGAAAGGAAATATCACCAGTTGACATGACGATAAATCAGTAAACTTACTGGCAGTATGGGTGGACATGAAGACGGTGGAATTAGGATATATTATCAGAGAGAACGAGACGCCTCACGCCGTATACAACACCAATGATAGCAGCAAAACTAATGTTCCTCCAGCGACAAAACCGCACACAGGGAATCGACGAAGCAAAATAGGGTGCAAGAATGAGAAAATAAGAGAAAGAGAAAAAAAAAGGACAACAGAACGCAATACGTGCGAAGAAGCAGTCACCCAAACAAGATCAAAATATCCCAAAATTAGTGCTCCAAGCCACATGCACATGCTTCGGCTCTCCATCATTAAACGGCTGTCCGCCGTCCGCCTTCACTGCCGTTAGTCAAAGGCACGCTCGTCCGACGGCGAGAACAGGTTGATATGCGAGTCGCCCCGTGCTGCGCAGCCCAGCGTCATCTTGTGCGGGTGGAACGCTGTCGCCGCGATCGGTGCGCTGCGGCTCTGGAGGAAGCCCGAGTATGGCTCGATACGCGACAGCTCGCGGCCATCGAGGTTGAACACCTTGACCGTGCGAGACGATGTGCCCCTGATTTGTTAGTGACTCTACATACAAACACACACACAGAACGAGACAAGAGTACTTACACTGCAAAGACCGGTAGGTGCTCGTGCGTGCTGGCTGTGCGCAGCGTGCGCGTCGTCGTCTGCACCGTGTTGAGCGGGTGGTCGCTGCGAATGTCCCACAGCTTGACCTTGCCGTCCCGCGCCGCCGACAGCAGTTCCCGCTGGCCGCCGCGCTGCATGTGCACGCACTTGATCCACACACGGTCCGAGTCGTCCTTCCACTTGCGCACCATGGCGTCCTGCGACCGTACCCGCAGGTCAAACACGCGCACCGCGCCGTCGCCGAAGCCCGCCACGAAAATGTTGCCCGTCATCTGGTCGCTCGTCAGCGACGTCACGCACGAGCCCGACCGCGCCGGAATGTCCGCCACGCACGCCTCGCTGCCTGCGTTCCACACGCGGATCGTGCGCACGTCGCCCGCCACGAGCACGCGGCCCGACACCTGCTGCCAGTCAAACACCATGCCCGAGTGCACGTTGCTCGGCACCATGTCCGTCAGCGCCCGCCACGACGTCGCCAGCTCCACCTTGGAGTACGAGTCGTAGTTGCGATACACGCGCAGCACGCCGTCCGAGGAGCCCGCCATCAGCAGCGCCTGGTCGTCCTCGTTGATAAACTTCATGTCGCTGATCTGCGACCCAGGCGGGTTGCCGTTGGAGAACCGGCTCAGCTTCTCCACACCCTTCCAGTCCCACACCTGGATCGTGTTGCCGTCGTCGGCCACCGCGAGGTGGTCTTCGAACTGGTGGAACGCCATGCGTGCAGGCTGCGAGCCGTTGTTGATGATGCCCAGCTGGTTCGTCCACTTGTGCGACCCGGCATACTGCTTCTGAGGCTGCGTGTCGCGCAACGTGCCCTCGTTTCGCGCCCGGCGCCACAGTCGCTCGTTGTACTCCGTGCTGCCCGGCTCCTCGGCCTCCATAAGGCGCATCTGCGGTTCCCGGAAGTACTCGGTCGACCAGTCGAGCAGCGTGCTGGCCAGGGGGAGCGTCGGCGGCTGATCCGCCGGGCGAGTCTCAAAGCCTGCCGAGACCGGCTCCTTGGCCACATTGTACGGCGACATGGTGCTCTCACGCTCGCTGTCCTCGGGGGGCGCGGCTGCGCGGTCAAGGGCCACTCCAAGACCACGCGCACGCCCTGACCCTCTTTGGAAGGTCGACGCAGAGCGCAGGAGGCTAGGCGACAGAGGCGGCTCGCTGGCCTGTGACGAACCGGGCCGGCCGCCCGCTGCAGGCACGGTACCGGATGTGTCCGTGCCCCAGAAGGGAGAGAAGAGGGTGCTGACCGTCCGCCGCAGGAGACCCGGAGACGGTGGTGGGTAGACGACGTCGGACACATCGCCGCCATTGACACCGGTGCCGTTGGCACCACCCGCCGCGCCACCATCGCTGGCATCGCCATTGGTCACACCACCAGCGCCAGAACCGGCAATGTGACTCGTGCCACTCCGCATGCTCGGCACAGCAACATGCCGCAACAGCCGTCCATGCTTTTTGTGAATGTCCTCGATGATGCTCTGCGCCTGGGCGCCGATCTCCGAGTTGAGAAGCGCCTCGTGCAGGTAATCCACAATCGTCGTCGCATGGGACTGGACTTCGGGGTGGGGGTCGACGGAGAGGATCAGAATGTGCTTCCAGTACGCCGTGAAGATGGTGTTATGCGAGAGGCCCTGGGCACTCTCCTTGACGGTACCGTCGCGGTTGCGGTTCTCGGGCCGGACATACTGCAAGCCAATCTTGTGGGTGCCGAAGCCCGCGTCCTTTGGCGGGAACAGAAGGAACTCCTTCTCCTCCTGCAGGTGCTCAAAGGCGGCCACGAGAAACTTGTTCTCGTAGCGTTGGACAAAGTGCGACATAAACACCAGGAGCTCCTTACGCACCATGGCGCTGCCGTCGTTGGCCATGTCCATCAGGGTCCACGCAATGGACTCCTCGACGCGGGCCACTTCGTCGGTCAGGTCGGGGATGCCAAGCAGTGTGGTCATGGCGTAGATCATGGACGCGCGCACTTCGCAAATCTTGTCCTGGGCGAGCGGCGAGAGACGTGCCGGCGCATTTTCGCGAATGCCGCGCCACTTGGCCTCGGGAAGATCTTGCCACAGCTGGCTCAGACACAGACACGACCACTGGCGAAGCAGCGGGTTGTCCTCGTTGCGGAGGTGGATCAGGCACGAGGTCATAATGTCGGTCTGGTTGCAGACCGTCTGGCCTGGCTTGTAGTTCTTGCACAGCATGGCCAGGATAAAGGCACACATAGCCTTGTGCTCGTCCGTGTTGGTGACGGGGAGGCCCTCGGCAGGCTTCAAGATGGACGAGAAGTAGTTGTAGCCGCTGTCTTTGATGAGGTCCTGCTGACACGAAATGTCGACGGCCAGAACGCGGGTCCAGATGAACACCATGACGGGCTTCAGCTCGGACGTGGCAGACTGTAGCAGCTTCAGCACATAAGGGAAGATGCCGATGCTCAGAGCGAGCTGGACGGCCCACGGGCCCAGGTCGAGGAAACGGCCAAGGAGGATCAGTGCGCGTACTCGATGCTGTTGACTAAGGAGCACTTGCAGAACCACTGGCAGTTGATCAGGCGACTTCTTCTGCATGGCATCGCCGCGCGTCAAGTACTTCTCAAACGCCGTCAGCTGGTCCGCAAAGAAGCTCGAGTTGTTGTACTCATACTCCACTTCGCCGGCCTCTTTCCGCTCGAGCATGGGGAGCTGATCCAATGTCTGATCGACAGCAAGGTCCCAGCTCGCCCAAAGAGGGTGCTGACGGGTGTCGGGAAGCTCAGGGAAGGATTGGGGATGACAGTTGTAGGCGGACATGATGCGCTGTGCGAGGAGGAAATTACGGAAGAGGGCAGCGACCAAGAGGTCTTGGCGGAAGAACTTGCGAAAGAGGTGGCGTGGCAGGGTAGTCCAGGCGATGGTGTCGGTGATGGCAGTGAAGATCCAGTTCAGCTCGCCGAGCGGGGTCCGCCGGTCCTGGAGGCGGCCCGGCAGCTTCTTGGCACGCTCCGGCGTGAGAGCCGTCTTCAACGGATTCTGCTGCACAAAGAACCACAGGGCCATGTCCATAGGTGTCGTAAGACACGAGCTAAAGACGTCGGCCGGGATGAGGGGGTTGGTAGGCAGGTTTTCCTTGGTCGCGCAGGCGGCCAGATGGATGTATGGGCGGAAGTTGGTCTTTTCGTAGTTGGGGTCGGCCAGTGCCGCATCCTTCTCCTCCTGCTCATGCTTATCGACGAAGCGGTGGTAGTTGCTGAGGATGTTGCCGGCCTCTGAGCAGTCCCAAACGAAAATGGTCGGCGCCTGGAGCCACTGCTGCAGGTCGTACAGTGACACGGGGATGTACTGCGTGTAGTTCTTGTTGAAGACCCAGATCTCGCCCGACGCCGTGGGCTTCGGGACGCCGTGGCCGTTGTAGTGCAAGAGCACGCGCTCATCCTTTGCATTTCGCCGCAGCGAGATGCAAAATTTCTTGGTCTCTTCAACCGACGGGTCCAGGTAGTGCTTATAACGCGGCCTGAGGGCGAGAGCCTCGTACTGGGTGATGAGCGCTTTGCCAATGTTCTCGAGCGCCTTCTGCACAGGCGGAACAGTGGTGTCCTGCCATGCTTCAAGGCGAGCGCCAGGGTTGGTACGCAGCTGGTCTGGCGGCTCAACACCAATGTTCAGACAGACGGCAATGACGGCGGACACGGTTTTGAGCCGGTCACGCATACGCCAGTCCTGAAGCTCAAGCGTCGGTTCCTTGGACCTGCCGTTGGACT